TATATATCTAGTGAAAACAATGTTTTAAAAAATTCTCGAAAACTCAAAAAAATAATAAACAGCTATACAAAACTGAATATACACTCTCTTTGTTTGCATTATTTATTAAAATGTATTTTGATTTAAAACAAAAGTTTTACACATTAAAATAAATCAAACAAAATATTTTCCTAAATTCCTCGAAAAGATCATTATTTTTGCAATAATCTAAAATTTTCAATTTTTTAAATATTATATATATATATATATGATATATACAACGTAGTAGTAGTAAATTTATTGATCCCTTGGGGTTTCAATTCCTTACAATTAACAATACAGCAGCCGCATATACAAAGGTGCTAATTCAAACAAAAACAAAAAAAAAAAAAAAATATAAAACGCACGCTACCATGACCTCTTCGCTATAACCTCTTAACCTATCTTATTGCTAACTTAACCTATCTGTCCTAAGGGTTGGACTTCCGCTTTGGGTCGCCCGTTATATACAACGTATTATATATATATAATATATTAATATATTGAAAATGTTAGATTATTGCAAAAATAATGACTTTCGAGAAATTGAGAAAAATATCGGCTGATTTATTTTGATGTATACTACTTGAATATCAAAATCAGGATTTTCTCGCCAAAAATATAATATTAATATATTGAAAATGTTAGATTATTGCGAAATCAAAATGGCTTTTTCGAGAAATTTAGAAAAATATCGACTGATTTATTTCGATCTGTACTACTTGAATATCAAAATCAGGATTTTCTCTTCAAAAGTAATTTATAAAAAAATATGCATAAAATATCAATATACAATATGTGTTTTATATGTGTAATATTAATATATTAAAAATTTTAGATTATTGCAAAAATAATGACTTTCGAGAAATTGAGAAAAATATCGGCTGATTTATTTTGATGTATACTACTTGAATATCAAAATCAGGATTTTCTTGCCAAAAATATAATATTAATATATTGAAAATGTTAGATTATTGCAAAATTAATGACTTTCGAGAAATTGAGAAAAATATCGGCTGATTTATTTTGATGTATACTACTTGAATATCAAAATCAGGATTTTCTCGCCAAAAATATAATATTAATATATTGAAAATGTTAGATTATTGCGAAATCAAAATGGCTTTTTCGAGGAATTTAAAAAAATATGAACTGATTTATTCCAATCTGTACTACTTGAATATCAAAATCAGGATTTTCTCTTCAAAAGTAATTTATATAAAAATATGCATAAAAGTTCTTAAAATGCATAAAATATTAATAAACAATATGTATTTTATATGTGTAATATTAATATATTGAAAATTTTAGATTATTGCAAAAATAATGACTTTCGAGAAATTGAGAAAAATATCGGCTGATTTATTTTGATGTATACTACTTGAATATCAAAATCAGGATTTTCTCGCTAAAAATATAACATTAATATATTGGAAATGTTAGATTATTGCAAAATTAATGACTTTCGAGAAATTGAGAAAAATATCGGCTGATTTATTTTGATGTATACTACTTGAATATCAAAATCAGGATTTTCTCGCCAAAAATATAATATTAATATATTGAAAATGTTAGATTATTGCGAAATCAAAATGGCTTTTTCGAGGAATTTAAAAAAATATCGACTGATTTATTCCAATCTGTACTACTTGAATATCAAAATCAGGATTTTCTCTTCAAAACTAATTTATATAAAAATATGCATAAAAGTTCTTAAAATCCATCAGATATCAATAAACAATATGTATTTTATATGTGTAATATTAATATATTAAAAATTTTAGATTATTGCAAAAATAATGACTTTTGAGAAATTGAGAAAAATATTGGCTGATTTATTTTGATGTATACTACTTGAATATCAAAATCAGGATTTTCTCGCTAAAAATATAATATTAATATATTGAAATGTTAGATTATTGCAAAATTAATGACTTTCGAGAAATTGAGAAAAATATCGGCTGATTTATTTTGATGTATACTACTTGAATATCAAAATCAGGATTTTCTCGCCAAAAATATAATATTAATATATTGAAAATGTTAGATTATTGCGAAATCAAAATGGCTTTTTCGAGGAATTTAAAAAAATATCGACTGATTTATTCCAATCTGTACTACTTGAATATCAAAATCAGGATTTTCTCTTCAAAAGTAATTTATATAAAAATATGCATAAAAGTTCTTAAAATGCATCAGATATCAATAAACAATATGTATTTTATATGTGTAATATTAATATATTGAAAATTTTAGATTATTGCAAAAATAATGACTTTCGAGAAATTGAGAAAAATATCGGCTGATTTATTTTGATGTATACTACTTGAATATCAAAATCAGGATTTTCTCGCCAAAAATATAATATTAATATATTGAAAATGTTAGATTATTGCGAAATTAAAATGGCTTTTTCGAGGAATTTAAAAAAGTATCGACTGATTTATTCCAATCTGTACTACTTGAATATCAAAATCAGGATTTTCTCTTCAAAAGTAATTTATATAAAAATATGCATAAAAGTTCTTAAAATGCATCAGATATCAATAAACAATATGTATTTTATATGTGTAATATTAATATATTGAAAATTTTAGATTATTGCAAAAATAATGACTTTCGAGAAATTGAGAAAAATATCGGCTGATTTATTTTGATGTATACTACTTGAATATCAAAATCAGGATTTTCTCGCCAAAAATATAATATTAATATATTGAAAATGTTAGATTATTGCAAAATTAATGACTTTCGAGAAATTGAGAAAAATATCGGCTGATTTATTTTGATGTATACTACTTGAATATCAAAATCAGGATTTTCTCGCCAAAAATATAATATTAATATATTGAAAATGTTAGATTATTGCGAAAATAAAATGGCTTTTTCGAGGAATTTAAAAAATATCGACTGATTTATTCCGATCTGTACTACTTGAATATCAAAATCAGGATTTTCTCTTCAAAAATAATTTATAAAAAAATATGCATAAAAGTTCTTAAAATGCATAAAATATCAATATACAATATGTATTTTATATGTGTAATATTAATATATTAAAAATTTTAGATTATTGCAAAAATAATGACTTTCGAGAAATTGAGAAAAATATCGGCTGATTTATTTTGATGTATACTACTTGAATATCAAAATCAGGATTTTCTCGCCAAAAATATAATATTAATATATTGAAAATGTTAGATTATTGCAAAAATAAAATGGCTTTTTCGAGGAATTTAAAAAAATATCGACTGATTTATTTCGATCTGTACTACTTGAATATCAAAATCAGGATTTTCTCTTCAAAAGTAATTTATAAAAAAATATGCATAAAAGTTCTTAAAATGCATAAAATATCAATATACAATATGTGTTTTATATGTGTAATATTAATATATTAAAAATTTTAGATTATTGCAAAAATAATGACTTTCGAGAAATTGAGAAAAATATCGGCTGATTTATTTTGATGTATACTACTTAAATATCAAAATCAGGATTTTCTCGCCAAAAATATAATATTAATATATTAAAAATGTTAGATTATTGCAAAATAAAATGGCTTTTTCGAGGAATTTAGAAAAATATCGGCTGATTTATTTCGATCTGTACTACTTGAATATCAAAATCAGGATTTTCTCTTCAAAAGTAACTTATACAAAAAATATATAAAAATTCTTATAGTGCATAAAATATCAATATACAACTTTACAACATCAAAAGATTATTTTTTCTAAGATTTGAAGATTTTTTAATACAAAATTTACAGGTTTGCAAATTTTTGTGCAGATTATGTAATTATCAAAAGTAAATACCAATACAGTAGAATATTATTTTTCCATCACCATAGCTCATTCGAGCATATAATTGTATGATGAAAAAGATATTAAAAATACAATTTCTTAATACACATACATATAAAATAATTTAATGCGGACTAAAATAATTTGCTGTTGATCAAAAGTTTATTCATCTTTATATGGAATAAAGATTAAAAAGTTTAAAAAATTGTTTAAACTGTGTTTATTTTTTCCTTACTGTTTGAATATAATTATATAATAAAATTAAAAATATATTATAAGTGCATATATCTATATCAATAAATTCAAAATTCAAAATTTGAAATTTATGCTATTTCAAAGTTAATATAGTCTTAACATATGATTAATATTTTTCAAAAATAAGTTTAGTTTCAATTTGCTTCTATAATTTGCATAATTATTAATTTAAATTTTCACTATTATTGTCGAAATAAGCTACACACATCATTCAATTCTGATGCAACCATGAATTAATGTGTTTTGAAAAGAGAATTAAAACAACAAAAGTTCACATCTCTAAACTGCGTACAAAATCTAAATAAATCTGAAAATACATTCTATATACAATTTCAAATTCGATTTTCAAATATACGAATTTGCAGCTCTGCATTTCTCACGATAATGCATAAAAATTTCCATTTGTTTGCAGAAGGGAGATTTTTTTCAGATCAGGAGGATGTAAAACTCGAGAAATGAATCTCCGTCGAAAGAGTAAAAACTTCAATCGCCAAGTTCAACAAATCCAAAAAATCCATCCGAAAATTTCCCCCTTCCCCCCCCCCACAAACACATACATACATGTATATACACACACATACATATATATACATTCACACATTTCCTAACAGCACACATATCCTGAAGACGTTCAGAGACATCCTGAGAATATTCGTATATCCTCTGGATATCCTCAGGATATCCTCCGAATATCCTCTGGATATCTTTCGGATATGTTGTGCTATTAGAGTAAATACATATATACACACACACACACACACACACATATCTGCATACATGCATGCATACATATATATATGTCTGTGTGTATATATATGTGATATATATATATATATATGTGTACACAAAAAGGCTGACATTTGCGGAGGCCAGAGCCGAGCGAGGGTAGACGCTTGCTGGAATAAGGGTAGGTCGCCCACTCACCTCTCTCTCTCGCGGCGCCGCAGGTAGATCCGCAGCCGGTCGAAGCGGACGAAGCAGCAGCGGGGGTTGCGCGACGGCTGCACACGGGGCCGACGAGAGCGACCGAAAAGCACGAGGGTGCTCTACGTTACTCGAGGTACTCTTCCGTTGACGTGGACGTGGTTACTACGCACGCCTCCCCGGCTCTCTCGCCGCTTGGCCTTCTTCCTCCTGCCTTTCTTCTTCTGCCGAGAGCGGGGAAAAGGAGAAAAGCGTGTGTGTGTGTGTGTGTGTGTGTGTGTGTGGTGTCTGTATATGTGTATACAGAGGCGGGTGAACAGAAAGAGAGAAAGAGAGAGATAGAGAGATAGCGATACGTGCGATGCGGCGAGAGATCGAAGTCTCGTGCGGCAAACGTTCGTAGACTGAGTGAACCCCGAGTTCAGACTGAGCGGCGCTTGGCCGACGTCAGCGCCGCGCCGCGGAGGGCGAAGGAGTCGCAACCATCGATCCGCTGAGGATGGTATGGGAAAGGAGCCCCCGAGAGAGGGCTAGAAAGTGGGGAGATCCGTGCCCTCGCGCACCGGCGAAGGGGTGGAAGGTCTAAAGACGTCGACGAGGTGGCGAGGGATATTCGATGACGACGATGACGATGATGATGATGATGATGATGCGAGGAAAAGAAGATACAGCGGAAGACTATATGTAGTCTCTGTTTCTCTCGAACGCTTTTGGTCCTCGCTGCGATTCCAATCATTTTTCATCTCTCCGTTCCGCTCACCGAAATATATGCCCTCCACTTCCTCTTTTCCTCCACTTTCAACCCTTGGCCCTCTCTGCTCGATCTCCCTCGCCGCCCACCGCCACGCCTCTCTCCTCATCTTCGTGTCCTTCACAATCTTCTTTCTCATTTCTTTCTCTCCAAATATATATGTATGCGTATATATTTTTTTAAGGGAATATATATAGGGTGTCCCGAAATTCGCAAATTACTTGTTTATGAGAGGTTCCTCGGGGTATTTGAAGATTTTCCCTCAGCCAAATGTCGAGGCACCAATAATTTTCTCATCTTCGTATCCTTCACTTCTTTTTCTCTTTAAAAATATGTATATATATATTTTTAAGAGAAGGGTCTCCCGAAATTCGCAAATCACTTGTTTATGAGAGGTTCCTCAGGGTATTTGGAGATTTTCCCTCAGCAAAATTTCATTTCTTTCTCTCTGAAAAAATATATATATATTTTTAAGAGAATATACATAGATTGTCCCAAAATTCGTGAATCACCTATTTATTTATGTGAGTTATCAGGTTATTAGGAGATTTTTCTTCAGTAAAAATGAGGCACCAATAATTTTCTCCTCATCTGTGTATCCTTAATTCATTTCTTTTTCTCTCTCTCTTTCTAAAAATATATATATATTTTTTAAGAAAATATATATGTATAGATTGTCCCAAAATTCGTGAATCACCTATTTATAAGAAACTAGTGCAACAAAAGCGCGCGCTACGTGCGCGCCATTTCTCAATTTTATATTAACTTCTAATACTTTAGAACTTGCCGAAAATACATTTTTCCTAATATTAGTATTATTTTTCCTAATAATAGTTTTATTTTTCCTAATATAAGTTTTATTTTTTCTAATATTAGTTTTTAATATTAGTTAATTGAAAAAAAAAATAGTCACTGCAGTAATTCCCTCCCAGAAAATTAAAAAAAAAAATTTTAGTGCTTTGCACTTAAGCATTTAAATAATTATAATGATTTCTTTACATAATATATATTCAGCTTAATTATATTTATTCAAAAGTGTTATTATACAATATTGTTATTCAAATCAGATATTTCGCAATGAAAGTTTAGTTTGCAATTGCAAGACAATCGCGATTACAGAAAATTGAAATAGGATCAAATTTAAAACTTATTTAATTTGTCTTTTTTCCATTTCTCTCGAATTTGTGATATGTAATTTATTCTGCAAATATAGATTAAATTTGAATTTTTAATAACGCAGCATTCGAGTAAGGACTATAACGAATGTCGAAAAATTCAAACGACGTCATCTGTTATTCTGAGAACAAACATTTTCTTTCTCAAAGCCTACACGGTGTCTCGAACAAATAAGAATGAAATGTTGCGAATGAGAAATGGCAGAAATGTTACATTACGTAGATAATTAACCGGAGAAAACTGTTAATATAGATACCTCTCTTTCTCTCTCTCTATTTTTTTGAAGTATTATTATATATTTTAAATATATTTTAAATATAAAATTTTCTCTGAAATTTTTTTATTTTTTTTTTATTTTATATTTTTTAAATAGATAAAATAAATAATTTTTCTATTTTATAATGTAGAAATAATTTTGAAAATTTAATTCGGATTACAAAATAATGAATAGTATTTTCTAATTTAAATATTCTTATAGCGATACACAATGCTGTACATCTTATATTTCAAATATTATTTTGATTATATTTTAAATATTACGTGTAATCTGCATGAATAAATTATTTTAGGAAATTCAATAAGAAGTATTTATTTTCTACATTTAGTTAAAATTACTTTTTTTAATTTATTCATATTTTCTTAAACGCAAAATAATTTCAATTCTAGCATTATAGTAATATATATAATTTGATAATTTTATTTTAATATGTCAAAAAATCTTTTTATATTTCTAAATTACAAATATGTAAACGCAATATAATTTTTATTATTTTCCGAACAATATAACATAAAGAAAAAAATAAACTCACATTGCGTTAAGTTGATTACCTCTCTGCTTTAATACATCCGCTTTAATGTTGTGGCGATCTCATCGACACATGCAAATTTAAAAAAATTATTGATTTAAGATATTGATACGAATACAGACATACACGCGAAAGGGACGAGACACAGGCATATACAGAACAAAACATAACAGACGAGACAGAATGAGACAAAAGAAACGTAAAAACATAAAAGATATAAAACGAATATAAGATTCTCGAAACCTTTCGAAGGTCAAAATTTGAGGCGAAAGAAAGGAAGAACGGTTTGCGTTCGAAGATTCGACTCTCGACTGTAGTCGCGTACAGACGTGCGAGCGAAATTAGACTGTTGTAAAATAATTTGAGAAAGTGAAATTATATCGCATTAATAAGAGACAATTAAAACTTGCCAATTATTTCCTGCCTCATTATTCTACCGAATAAGTTCGCGACAGATAGACAATAATATTGAGCGAATAGCGCTAAAATGTTTCTCTTTTGCTTTGCTATATCCCATATGATTTGGCACATACACTGATCACTGCATTGCTTTTTCTATTATTTTATATTTGCAATAATTATTTATCACTTCACTATACACCTATACACTTCAAAATGATAACAGATGACACGAAAAAAATAAGATCACTCGCGAATGCATTCGGCACTTTCGATCTCGCTCGATCACGTTCGATATCGTATTCGCGAATAAAAACACAATTTGAATTTTGTCGATTTCGATGAATTCGCGCTTCTCCGATACTCGGGCACTTCTAGAGATGCTGGAGCACTCGCGGAACTCTTCGTCGAGCGGATGATGCCGAAATACCGCACGAGAGCCGCTGAAATTGTACGTAAATACGATATCGAACGTGATCGAGCGAGATCGAAAGTGCCGAATGCATTCGCGAGTGATCTTATTTTTTTCGTATCGTCCGTTCATTCCGAAGTTCATCTGTGTGTATAGTAAAATGCGATAAATAATTATTGCAAATATAAAATAATAAAAAAAAACAGTGCAGTGATCAGTGCCAAACCATATGGGATTATAGCAGAGCAGTAGTGAAAGATTAAAATGGTGATATTAAAGCAGAGAGGTTTAGATAATCGACTCAACGCAATGTGAGTTTATTTTTTGTTTATGTAATAAAAAATTATATTGCGTTTATACATATTTGTAATTTAAAAATATAAAAAATTTTTTTTGACATATTAAAAATAAAATTATAAAATTATATATATTACTATAATATTAATGCTAGAATTGAAATTATTCTGTTAATAATGAATTTAAGAAAATATTAATAAAGTGAAAAACGTAAAATGTATAGCATTGTTGCTATAAGAATATTTAAATTAGAAAATACTATTCGTTATTTTATAGTCCGAATTAAATTTTCAAAATTATTTGTTGATTTAACACAAATATAAAAAGAATATACATTATAAAATAGAAAAGTTATTTATTTTATTTATTTAAAAAATATGAAATAAAAAGTAAAAAAATTTTTCAGGGAAAATTTTATATTTTAAATATATTGTTGTAATACTCTAGAAAAAATAGAGGAGAGAGAGAGAGAGGCATCTATACAATTTTAACGGTCCATAGAAATTTTTGTTTTTATTTAACATAATATGTTAAATGAACACACAAATATTGTGTTAATGTTTTAACAAAAAATAAATGTAAAACTTTAAATAATTTAAAATAAATGTTTGTAAAATTTTTGTAAAATCAACATAGTTCTAATATAAAAATTAATTAAAAATATGTTAATTTTAGATTTTATCATCCTCTTATATTATACATATAATAAAAAATCAACAATTTTGTCTGTAAATTTTAACAAATAAATCTTGTTACTAATAGAGCAGAACATATTTATTGTGTAAAATTAAAAATTGCATATTTGTGTTATTTTTACATCTTGTTTCAGTTGTTTTAATAATTTGACATTTAAGTTCAATTAACACAACAACAATATTTTAAATTAACACATGTATGTGTTAAATATGTAACACAAAAATTTTACCGGAGACCGTTTTTAATTAAAAAACACAAATTTTTCTACTGTGTTCAGTATTATCTAAACGTTTTTTAATATATTTGCAAGTACTAAAATAATTTTTCGTCAAATATTACAATACGTCAAATTTTGAACACGTTATATTAAGCTTCATAAAAATTATATATATGTATTATATATTTTTTATATATATATAGAATGTTATTTCTAAACAAGTGCGACAAATTATGTTTTCTCGAAAATTAATAAAGTTAAAAATTAGATTTTTATTTTTTTCTTGAAAACTATTGAGTTTACAAAAAAAATAAAAGAAATAAAAAAGTTTCTAAAGGAATCAAACTTTCTATAACGCATATTTTTAGATGATCACATTCCAATTGCGTTAAAAAGTCTAATAAAAAATTGAATAAGGGTAGTTGCTAGTTTCATCCCCTTATAACGACATGGGAAGATTAAAAAAATATATTAATAATTATCCTTTTTACTACTAAAAATTCACCAAATTTCATTTTTTAACTTGTCCAAAATTTTATAAAAAAATTAA